CTAGAATTTACACCTACCTTGTAGAAAAAATGCTCAACCTGCCTATTTTTATGCGTGCCAAGTTTGATGTTACATATAGATAGAATAATGAGTGAGAAGTGCTTAACTTTTACCATCCTCATGATATAACTTATCAATAACTATCAGACTGTAGGGCACAAATATATTGATGATTGAATGTATTTTATTTTTAATGAACCTACTCGTTTTCAAAATTTTAGCACTACAGATATAATATATTGACTGAGATACTATTCATATTTACACTTTCATTGTTTATTTGATAATGTCTGTTGTTCATGTATGTTTGATTACCATTGATTTGTTCTACTTTATACCATTCTTTGGAATTGAATTGAATTCAATTTTTTTTGATAGACAAAATTAGTAATTCAGTAAGTAATTCCTTTCAGGTTCACGATGAATCTGAACATCCACGAGCTTGTAAAGACGATGCAGGACTGCGACTTTAGGCAAAATAAACAAATGAGTCTGAATTTTCAGCTGTTCTCCGAAATCATTACATTCAAAATACTTTCTACGTGGTAAAAATAATAATTTCGACGAAGCTGGTGCTCCCGGATTCCGCCATATATAAACAAGCCGCGTTAGCTACTCTCTTCCATTTTGGTAATAGACTATAAAACGAAGCAAATACTAATAGTCGCAGTATTAGCTAAAAAAGCTTTGCTTTTCACTTTTATCTTAAACAATATATCGCTTGGGGCTAGGAAGTACTTTTCTCGACTAACTATTTCTTACAAGACCCAGATAAGACACAGTTCAAAGTGCTGCCGCTCCGAATTCACTGTCCATGGTCGATGCTACTCAGAGGAGAGCTGTCCGACTAACCCATTAAACTTTCCCTAAATGACGGTCTAACTCTGCCGTACTGGCCGGTACGATAGATTATTTGTTCCTAGAGTATCGACATCTCAGTCTGAAAACGATATTTTCCTCGTCCATCTAACTTTACGCACTTCGAAAGCTAAATCAATTCTCAAATCTTTTTAGCAGTGTGGGTCATGGTATACTGCTACGTATGTTTGCACAGTCGTGGCTGCCTCAATATAAAAAATAAGTTAATATTCCTAGGGTATCCTTTGTATGTGCAGATGTCCCTTTTCGCTCTATAGTGGTTGTGGGTTATACCTACTTATGCTGTCTACATTCCTCAAGTGACCTAAATACGATAATACTATCAAAATACTACAAAAAATTAATATGTATTTCCAAATACATATTCCCATTTGTCCTTTCCATTTAAAACCGAATACAAGCAAGAAGTCGATAACCCAGACATCAGACACAGTTCGCTACAAAATGTGGAAGTGTAGGTTCGGAAATTAAAAAAAAGACAGCACGCCACATATGCCATATAGTGTGTATACGCTGAAACCAGGTAGTATGTCCTACACGAAGCCCAACAGCTGCACATTGAAGAATAAACTGCCAGCTGTTTGCCTGTACAACAAGCGCACCAAATAAATATTCCGGCATATGCCACTGCGTTCTGCTCGAAGAACCAAATGGTCCTCTAGTGTTACGCACAGACACAAAACGTATTTAAAAAATCTACTTTAACAATGGGAAGTGCGATAATACTGATTATAACATAGGTACGTTTTTCATCATGACGTGGATTCATAGATCTGAAGTTTGATGGACAAACCCGTTAAACGTATTAGATGTACCTTTTCAGAACAATGACATAAGAACAAAGGTTTTTGAGCTTTTCAGTTTTCCCGTATAATATTATTATACCTGAAATGAAATTTTCGCTCAATTTGAAATAATAGTGTGATAAGAAAATTATTTCCATACTATGTAACTATATCAACTGTAAATTTCCTAAAGGTGCCTTTTTGCCTGGAGACAGCGACAGGAGACCGTAACCGACGACCGAGTCACAAGGCTCATTGAAAAAAATGGCGTCAAGTAGGTTGGTTGACTCTGCACTTCCCACGCAACGACACCGTCATGAAAGATTGTTCGGCACAAGCCTCTATTGAAATAAGGCAGCACCATAGACCTTATATCATTGATAAAGGATAGATGCCATGCTTTCGTTCATTGTCCAGCCTCGGCCATGCTGATGAAATGCTAAAAAGCACGAAACAGCTGTCCATTGTTAGCTGTCTTTGGTCGAAGTTACGAGCATGTCGAAGTTACGAACATGTATAACAAATAAATTAAACGGATCTGGTCCATCGAACTAGTCCATACAATTAGACCATACACATTCTTTCCCTGCCCTACCCGTAGTACCGTCCATCTAGCAACGTCGCCTCTCCCCAATACCTGATCGCATGATGCGTCAGTCGCGGCAGCGCGACACAACGTCAGTGATGTGAGGACACTTACTGAGACCGGCACGCCGAGTGGTGAAGCCAGAGAGCACACGCAGGGACGCGTGTTGAAAACTTGTTCTATCGTTCTAAGTTTTAAGGGCAAGTGAAGGGGGATGATGATATGCGTGAAATATGTCTAATTAGGACGTAGAATTACCGAGGTTGGAAGTGTATTAACATAATGAGATCAAAAATAACGATATACCCTCCCCGCCTCCTACAAAACCCAGCTCCCAATTTTTCACTAATACGTTTTTTTCAAAAAGAATCAGGATCATCTGAAACGCTAAAAAAAGTAAAAATGTTATCCAATTGAGTAGTACTTTTCAAGTTATCGACGAGCCAAGGATTTGCGGACAGACCGACGTACTGACACACAGACAGATCGACAGACGGAAATGAGTGACATGGTTCTTCGGGATGTACATGCCATATAACATCCAAAAAACAACATAATATCTCATTTTCGCATTTTTTTGCGATTGCATTCCTCGTCAGTAAGCTTGGGAAGTAAAATTCGTCCGCGTCATTCAAATCATATTTAAGATGAGACGTATGAAACGGCAATAAGAGGCATAACAAACATGCGTCTAAATGCTTAGCATACGACTTTAAATTTGAATCTTGTTATATTGATAGTGTGACGATGACGGAATATCTACAAGCACGCTATGGTTACTAGTCTAGGGTTTTGTCTCAGGCTTGGTATTCTGTCTCTTGTCACTGTCTCCGTAGGGAACGGTGTATTTATTAAAAATCATAGTCTGTTTTTGTTTTTGTTTCAATTTTTACCCCTACCACTTCAATCATAATATAGTTTCTAAAATAAACCCCTAGGTCATGTCAAAAAACATTTTTCCAAAATACACATATATGGGTTCAACATACCTCCAGAAATACTTTTTTCAAATTTTCTCTGATCGATTCTGATGTAACCTTTTTGTTACTTATATGGGTTAGGAAACTATATCTGTTAATCTATAGACTCGAATTGCCACCAAACCCTACTCTCTCGTATGAGTTGTTGAAAATTTACTATTACTATTTCCAATTTATTGATCCTGAATATAGTGAGCTTCGAAGCTAAGAGGCTAACGTATTCTCGAAGTATGTATTCGAACTACATATTAGTTATTCTGGTAAAAGGGCCGAAAGCATTTATTGTTGCTTCAAGTCGGCCACTACAAATTCTCCCATTTGAAATTCTGCAAGAAATGGATTCAGGATGCCATATGAAAATATTATAGATATACTAGCATAGATTCTCAAAGTGGGCGATAGCGCCTCCTTGTGGCCGCTGGGGACCTAAGTAAAGAGCCTTAAGGAAATTGGAGGGCGTTAAATCAAGGACGGATTTAGGAATCTGTCTAGAGAGGGGGCGCATTCATTCAGGCATCTTCGTCTCGGGGGGAGGGGGGCGTAGCGGCGACTAAAAATGGAAGAGCGGGGGGATGACTGCTGCATGCTCAAGCACTTCTGAGAAATGTAGTTTTTACTATAAAATACAGCAGTACATACCATTTTTTGGAAAAATGGCAGACTTGGGGGTCAATGAGTGGGGCTCGCTCTCCCTAAATCCGCCCTTGTGGGTTATGGGACTACCGTCTCCGACAGTTCATAAATAATTACGAAACAGGTTGATGCTTGATCCTTCTTCATGCTATCATTTTCAAGGGTAAACAATAAAAGAGTAAAATTGGGTCCAATTATATTACTTCTCAGGGAATTATTGCGATCCTAATTAGAACGCGGCCTAAGATTTTTCGATCGTTACTAGTAAATTTGTAATAGTAGTAGTAAGTAATAGGGAGGTTTGATTTGGTTTGAACAGGATTTGTTGCACTCCTGCATTCGATGAGAGGAGACTCGACGCTCGGCATTAGTACCGAACTTAACCCAACGCGGTCCAACTCGAAAATAAATTTAGGTGTGGACGACGTGTAGACGAGCGCATCCCAATACCTTCCAACAACAAACGCCAACGTCACATGTGCTTGCATTCGTTTGCTCGGCGTTGGATTTTCGGTATGTACGCGGCTTAAGAGATGAAGTCATATATACGTGTACTTCTTTGTATAAGATATTGGAATATAATTATGTTTTTAACGACTGTTTTTAGAATCATTTTTTGGAAGACTTCTAAATCTTAAATATGAATTAAGCATGTAGCTCCCCATGCCAATATACCGTAGGTTAAATGTGGTTCGATCAAGGTATGGTATAAGGTATAGAAATATCTCTCAGAATATCTTTGAGGTATTTAATTTTATATGAAAGAAATCTAACTTTTTTAAAAACATATAAAATACGAACAATCCAATGCAAGTGTGGATCCAACAATATTCTAAGGTATTTTGAATCTGATACTCTATTAATTTCCAATTTCTGATTATTTAGAAAAAAAGAGATGTTTCTGTAATTTGGCAGATATTTATGATGGAAGAAAATGGTAAATGTTATTAACTAACTGATTAATTTGGACAAAATCATTTTCAACTATGTTTTTTAAATCAACCCAATCATCACCTTCATAAAGAGTTGCAGTATCTTCAGCAAAACTTAATTGTTTTGCCCACACAATCGATTTGGTTGGGTACTGTCTTGGTTACTACAATGGTTGAGATTTATATGCATTTGATTATGTCTTACCTTTTTCTCGGTGAGCTTCTCGCACCTCCTCTGCTTGCATATCTGGTGGCTCTTGTCGTTCCTACATGGAGCACAATCACCACAATTGTCTTTTCTTTGGCATCCGACACACTCTCCGCACCGCTTCCGTTTCTTCTTCACCTGCTTGTCAACGCTCCCGCCGCTAATGTCAGTGTCCATATCGACCGAACTATTCGCGTGCATTTGGTGCGATTTGAAACCCGCGGTACTCGAGATGGCGGCCACTTGTCCAGAATTTTCCGAGCAAATGTCCATGGTACTCGACGTACCGTCGCTGTCCACAGAACTTTCCAGACTGGAGGTACGAATTTTCCTTCTCTCTTTTTTCCGGAAGTCGTTTCGGGTCGGGGAAGTGGCGTTTCCGTTGATTTTCTTCTCTATACCGTTATACAACCCACTATCACTGTTCAGTTGTGTCATGGGGTTCTGAAACTGCGTTGGATGCAAACCTATATTCTGGAGCTTCAAAGAGTCTTGATGAAGAGGTGAAAGCTTCAAATCTGGTTCGGATTTTATCACGGTGACAACAGTTGGCGAAGAGATCAATTGATTGCTTTGGATGATAGCTCCGTTCTGGTTATTCAAAAAGGTAGGATGCAAGGTACTATTGAGCGTAATATTGGCAGGAGTAGGATGCGAATACAACTGTATATGCCTTTCGTCTAAGAATTGCTGTTGGATGGAAGGTATCTCTCTTGCTTGGATAGGAGCAGGCACTAAAGGGTAGTTTCTTGGATTCACGGCACTCAAGGCGTGGAAATTAGAGTTCAACGTCGTCAAATGGGTTTGAGGACTCGAGGAGTTCGGCGAAACCGGAGTTAAATTCGTAAGAGTCGTCAAAGTCGTATCACTCGTTGTGACAACTTCGCTGAATGCTTGAAACTGAGACTGGAATGAAGGAAGTTTCGAAGCAGAGTTTGCTGAAGGACTGAACGCATCTGCAACACTAGTAGCTGGAGTTGTTGAAGTGTAACTAGAAGTGGACGTATCTATCGATTTGGATTCCCATGGTCTATACTGAGGTTGAGAACTGATTATCGCTAAAGAACTGTCGCCCCGGTCCAATAACCTAGCTTCAGTGTAGTAGTCCCAGTTGGAGATGTCTAATAACCGGCTATCGCTGAACAGCCTATCCGGCATGGAACTGAAGGTACTACCCGAGTCGACATCTGAAGTGAACGTAGTTGAGAATGGGGGCAAATTTGCCCCGGACGGCGCATCTTGTACCGTCGAACTCGGTGTAGCCGGCGTTGGGGGGTAAGTCGGTACTAACGTTGTATAAACAGCACCCAATCCATCTGGGTCTTGACTTAGAGTTTCACTCATTGTCGCACTGAAGTTTCGCTAACTCCGAATCATTTTGATGTCCTCGTACGGTTATAGTATAATGGAATTAAAGATGTCCTTATTGTCATAACTGGTATCCTGAATATCGCTGAGATTGGGTATCAAGTTATTTGTACTATCGTATTTTTTGTACTGTTATGTTCCGTATAAAAATAGCATTGTTTTGTATGTCTTCTCTATAAAAATAATATCTGAAAAAGAAAAAATAATGCATCATTGTAAATATCCTTTTCCTCAAGTAACGGCTATCAAAGTTTCTGTAAGATCACCTAAGCTACATACGACTTCTTTCAAAACTCAAAACTTGGTTCACCTCAAAACAGGAAATTGTACTTTTTGTAATTTCAAATATTTTCTCCAACTGGCTCTTTCTGGCAATTCATGATATTAGATGACAATTTTCGCACGATGTAAGAAACGCGATAGACGGAATGTCGAATATACTGCTTACGTTACATTAAGGAAACTTTGAAAGCACCGTAAAATAAAAAATCTATGATTACTTTATCGAAACAAACATGGTTACTGGAGCAACTTCTTGTTACAAAACATACATATTCGAGTAGCTAAAATAACTGGAACATTTTATACACACATTCTCAAGACACAAAGACGTAAAAACTAAACAAATCCAAGGACGGGCATCTATTGAAAAAATCCGGTTTAATATGATGTATAGGAGCATCAAATGAAAGATAGGAGACATAAACTACATACAGTGTGACCCAAAAACTGTCAAATAATCAATTTTATTAACTTCTCATAAAATCGGTCTATGTAAAATCAAACGGGTGAGCTGCTCTAACGGCTTCAGCAGGCCATAGCTATGCCTCGAAGACTGTATAGGATTACCATAAGACCCTAAAGGCATAGGCAAATATCAATGCAGCAATTCTCTTACGAGTAAATATAGTGAAGTACCTGACCAAACTTCAAATTCCTTGGGTGATTCTGGAAAAATATATACAAACATAGGACCGGAAATTTGTTTTTTTTTGTAAAATTCGTTATAATCTCGATTACGTTGAAATACGTTGAAATTTTAAGGGTTGAATGTGTATTCACAAACATGTAAATAAAACCAGGTAAGCAAATGCCTCAAGACAATCAAACTCTACAAAGCAAAAACATAACTGATTTGAATCTGCAGACATACATGGCCATGTCAATAAGTGCTTCTAATAAAGCATTTTTCGCTAAATATTTTAGTTAAATCGGCAATACGTCTGCAGATGCTATACTCAGTGAACGGAACGCTCAGTTAAAATGATTTCATTCGAATGAAATTTTGCATACAGTTAGACATAAGCAAGAGGAAATCGTGATTGAATAAAGTGAAAACATTTGCTCTTTGGTATATCGCTGTATACGTTGTATGTCTTCTTGAGATATCTTAGCCTATTAGCATTTGTGGAGGATAAGGTACGAATGTCACTTCCTTCATAACTCATCCCACAAACGTCCAATGGGTGAAAGTTCTGTAGATCTAGGATACCAAGGAAAGGAGTTGACGCGAGCGTTATTAAGGTAGTCTATTATAGCTCTAAAAATATGGGGACGAGAATTGTATTGTTCGAAAATAGGATTTTTAAGCGTTTGTAAGAATGGAAAAAATGTGATTCTAGTATTTTCTTGCGCCACCATATGTTATGAGGCCACAAAGCATTACCCGGTGTATGTATGGTGTAAAAATGATATAAAAGTTATATAGGTGATTGTCCACGACTCCTCACTCGAGCCTGAACATCATTCATGTTATACAATTGATCATCCCAATTTTTTCGGTCTCAGTACTTTTTTTGGGACGCATAATGGACCGGCATGAGTCGGGAGGTACCATTACAAATGATGCCAAGTCAACTTCAGTTTGCATTAGAGAAGGTATGCCGAGCGACGGTATATCTAAGAAATACTACAACTTCATCTTTTACCATTGCCCATGATGGGAAGACTGAACGAATGTATACGACATCAAGGTGGCCCAACACATCATTAGCGAAATCTAGTGATACCCCGTAAATGTTGTCACTTCAAAATTTAATCACGACTTCCTCTTGCTTATGTCCAAATGTATAAATTTATTCAAATAAAGTCCTTCTTACTGGAAGTACCTATTTTATTTGTCACTGAGTTTATTTTTCATTGAATTTCAAAAATATTGGCTGAAAGGTTATTACGATTTTTTCGGGAAGACGAATTTTCAAAGGAAGTTTGAAAATTATATTGAAAACGGATGATTATATAAACTTTTTCCATAGAATCACCCAATAAAACACCCCATGAAGTTTTGTTAGATACTTTATAAACACTCTGGATACTTGGCAAAGAAGGAGGTGGCTTTTCATGGTGGCAGAAGAACAGCTGATCTCTCCTACATAACTTTCTAAAGCCTATCAATCAATGAATCAATGCCACAAGAGTTGGGATATTACAGGTGACGCACATATCAGAGTCGCTAATATTATAAAATAACTACGGCGAGTAACTGGATGTTTACTTGTCACTGTTGATTTAGAATGCACCCATAGCCTAGAGGGATGAATGTATGAAGTCCTTGGTCCGGAAAGAGACAAGAAGTTGCGACCAAGCATAATTGTCCCGTATGTGGTATGCCAAACGCCAAACACGGAACATGGTCATGATTTCAGAATACTTTTCAACTTGGAATAGGACTATCCCAAATATTCTGAATACTAACTCTCTTACGCAGGGTTGAAAAAAAACATGTTTAAAAAAACAAAAATCATGTTTTTTTTGTTTAAAACTGTTTGTGTTAAGAAAATTAAAATTTAACTGAAAAAAAACATGTTTAAAACACTGTGAATACATGTTTAAAACAGTCGACAAAAGATAAGAAACTATTGCCTATATAATCTAGCAACGTTAATGAAGTTGCTCGAAAGTGTTATTACTATTTTTGATCCAGCTCTATCAAACCACATCTCTAATTTAAAAGCGGACGTCGGGGAAGTACCGTTTGCCTTTGGATATAATTTTTCGCGTTGCGATCTCCAATCTCCAGCAGTCAAATGTGCGAAGTTGTAGCGTGGTGGTGTATTTTGTTTTTTGTGCATTAAAGATCGGCAAAAAAGAAAGGCAATGACAGGGAGGAGAAAGGATCCCGTGTGGAAATATTTTAAGGAGACTGATGCCAAAGCTGGCTCTAAAATAAATAAAAGAGCAAAATGTTTAATCTGCAGTATGGATACAGTGCCACAATTTTGTAAACAACATAAACAAGGAAGTTGGTTAGAAAAACAAAGTATATAGTTCTGATACCGACAATGATGACGTTTCTACCGAACCTATTTCCTCAAAGTTAAGTAGCTTGGTGAATTGTGAAAAAGGTACATTTTGTAGTTGGAGTTCCGTAAAAAGTAGTGAAAACTAAAAATTTTTTCTATGTACATTTTCCATGATTTTATATTATAAAAATATAGATTTAAGGATTTTTTGTTAAATAACATGGATTGTATACTTTTAGAGAAATTTGTTAAGTAACTTATTTAATGTTATTATATAAGTAAATACATAGTCATATTATATGATTATTCTGCGGCTTGTAGTGTACTAGTATTAGAATTCAATGCAGTTTATTAAGTTCGCTTGTTCGTTAAGAAACATCTTTTTTCCACTAGTATTAGTTCCCTATTTTCATGTTTGTTAAGTGATAAAAAATGAAGTATATTTTTTAGTACCTACGTGTTTTAACCTATGGTCCTTTTAGTTTCGTTTTGCAAAATAAAATCAATTTTAATCATACTTAAGAATATAAAAAAAAAACTTGAATAATTCACTAACGACAAAAAAACAGTGTTTTAAACATTTTGATTAAAACATAACAACCCTGTCTTACGACTTATAAAGTCTCTTGGAAAAACATGAAATTTCATGGTTCATGATGACAGATTCTGAATCATATCCATGAAAACTGTCACGATACCTGAAAACCCGTTTGTTTACCAAGCTAAAGCTTGCCGCTGGATGGTCGAGGTCCGGAGTTCGTCCGGTGGCAACAGTGACGCAGCGAAAAGCGCATGTACACGTCACTGAAAAGCTCATGGAAGCAAGGAAGATAAAGCAGGAGAGTCCACGCAGTCGCGTTTCTGCGTAACGCAACGCATTTCCTTGTCGACAGCCAGGTCACGGTCGATCCCAACGTTGCCATTTTCAACGATTTCCATTTCGTTTGCGGAAAGCCTGGAAGCGGGAACGCACGGGAAGGAAAGCGAAGCTGCACAGTGGTGGATTTAGGAAAGATTTTTTTGTGTTCACCTCCACCAACCAGAGATAACAAGTTAGAAAAATAAATTCAGGCTTTTTGATTTGACAATTTCTTCAAAATGTCCATATAAAAACTAAGTTTTCACTGCTAACCAAAAAAATCATCATTATTCACTGCAATGTCCCACTGAAAATGGAATTAGCGTTTTTCGCCCTAGATAAAAAATAACAAAATATTTTGAATTGTAAGGTGCTAACGTTATAATTATGTTAGTTTTTCAACTCAACAAGGCAGGATTTAGGACTCTGTCTAGGGGGGATTTGGGGGGCGCAACGGTGGTCGCACAATTAAGTTTTGGGAAGACGTTCGTCTTGAGGGGGATTACAGCCATATCTACATGACATTTCCTTGAAATAAAAAATGGTCAAATTGAATGACTAAGGGGGGGCACCCCCTCTCTCTAAATCTGCCAATACAATTAAGCTTTATATTCTGAACTATTTGAAAACTAGTGAGACATGACTAATGTATAAACGTGTTCGACCATTACTCAACCTAGGTATGTAATGTACTATTATTAGAGTTTTGAAAGCATATTCAAGAGTGGAGGACGTGACTTTTCAATCTATGATTGCGAAGCAATCAAATTAATTTTTTAATAAAATATCCTATGTTGCCACTGTATGTTTAATATGTTGACTATGTTTTGGATTGATCCACGCATTACATTCTAGGTATCGACATTTTTTTGCGTAGTTGAAAAGGTACGGCGTGGGCCTGCCCTGATCAAAAAGAAACTCGTTTGCAAACTAGAAGAAACCATTGGAAGAAAATAGTTTTAAAGACAAAATTAAGTTTTTCACTGACGATTGCACGCCTTATCTAGTAATTATATACACAAACGGTGTCAAAGGCGCTCATCTAAGGAGAATTAATTTTGACGTCGTCTTACTGTCAGACATGTTTTATCCGCTATGATAATTTCGAGACAGCCATGATAATTTCGGTATAGAAGTCAGTTAGACTCACGTGTCATAATTATTATGGCAGATCATATTTAGGGCGACAAGGGGGCATTGAATTTACTTTCAATGGTCGCAGGCCAGAAGCATTTTTGTATCAACATTTGGCTAACTATAGCAACTTTCGCCTAGTCATTATGACCATATTGCAGTATATCAAAGGCCTATACAGGGTGAGTTCTCAATGTGGGCTCGATCAATAACTCCTTCATTACGCATGATATCTATAAAAGCTAATCACAAAAATTGTAGCCAACAAAATGCTCCTCACTTGGAAAATATGCTTACTTCTACAGGGTGACTAATAACTACCTGGTGACCCAAACGTACATTTTTTCGAATGAAAAGACCTAAATTCTGTAACAGATTTGATTAGCCCTTTCAAACGAATATATTTGATATAGATATAACACACTGCAGGGTTTGATTTTCAAATTATTGAGATATTGGACAATCTATCGAAAACACTTCCAACTTGACAACTCGCACCTCCGCGACTGATAAAGCTTAGAGTACTGAATTGTTCGTCAGAACAATTTCATGACCCCGTATTTTCTCCCTATCTAGCTGCTTTTCAGTTTCTTTGATACTTTATGCATGCTGGTCAAGAACACATAATAAACGAATTCCCAAAATTTGTGCTTTCCCATTACGAATCAAATCTATCCTAGGCAGCAGCGGTGGCCGCAGTAGTAGACTCTTCGGTCTCCTAATCAGTCGCTGTGCGGTTTCGAATCCCGTTCCAAGAGACATTTTTCTCTTAGCTATGGATGTTGTGATTGTCCGTAGGTGGTAGACGATCTCTGACTGTCGAACGCGGAGGTACCACCCGGCGGATCTCGTAGGCGGAGCCAGAATGTATGCATGTTGCCAGAGTTTGTGTGGCGTTCCCTCTTTCCCCTGTATCCCCCTATAGCCCCACGATACCCAATGGGTGTTTAGGACTTGGGCCTTCGTGGTAGTTGGAGTATAAAAAAAATCAAACATCATAAATTAAACTCGGTTAATCAGGAAGGTGTCCCTACAAGCATCGTTAAATCTTTATCAGAAAGAAGCTTGTGAAGAAAATAATCAAAAGGTGCGTTCAATTTGAAAATTTCGTAAAATCGTTCATTTTGCGTTCTTGAACAACCTGTATAAACTATTCAAAAAACGAAAAGCATAAGTTGATACAGAGTGTTTTATCTTGGCCATTAGTAGCAACCTTGTGTGAAAATTTTCATCAGCATCCGAGCAGTACTTCTCAAGTTATGGACGGGCAAAGGATCAGCGATCAGACAGATCGACAGACACACAGACAGATAGACCGACAGCTGGTTTTTCGTGACCCATCCAAAAAACACAATATCTCATTTTCAATTTTTTTCGCCATTAAGATACACCGTCGCCCAGCGGCGTACACGACATTACACTCAAAGTGATCAGACAATCTAAAACGCAGATAAACAAAAGGTTCGGAATTTTAGATTTACATATATCCCAAACATAAATAAACACCCAAAAATGATCAAGAACTCTCAAAACAAAGCATCATAATTATCGCATTCATCAGAAGCATTTACTAGGACTACGCGGTGACGCAAAATTACAGACCACGAACAGCCTTTGGGAAACGAGCGGCATTGATATCTCCGACCTAACCACTCGGAATTAAAGTGTGATGTAGAAATCGAATTATGTTGAACTCTCCTGCTTCTTTCGTCCATATACTGTTTTATCACAAAAATAGATGTGCAAGAAGACATTTCTCACAAAAGTCCATATCAAATAATAATCGCATCCCTTCACTGTGCTATATCCGTGCAAACCCCAAACTGGCAACAGCGTCATGAACCCTCTCATGCGAAATTTCCAGCACTGACTGTACATTTAGCGTCGTCCTTACTCCAGAATGATTCACAATCAAGAAAAATCAATAGACTTTAAACGGTATTATGCTTTGGCACGATATCAAACGTTACTAGAACACTGGGCATCCAAAATCAAAAGAAAACATCATCTAACAAACTGGTATTTACTGACATTAACAGGTTAAAACGCGCAAATTGTTTTAATGCAAAGTAGGTACGTCAACGTACTTATTACTTTATATTACGGAAAATATTTTTACAACCACAAAAATTCTTCCAGATAAAATAAAAAAAATCATCATCATTCAAAATTACGAAAATGCCTATGTCCGATTAGGTTTTTTTGATAACTAGACAATAGATTCAAAATTTCTCATTAATAATTAACCAAACAAAAATATTTTGTTATAAAATTATTTGTTTTTCATCAAATTTAATAAATGCGTATGGTAAATTCGGAAATGTCTTGCAAAAAATAGCTCCAGATAACAAAGAACGTTCCATAATATGGCAGCACAAGGATTATATAATAAACAATGAAGTCAATTCTTAAATGTGAATTATTAAATAAAGAATATTCCTACAGTACCTAGAGCTTTGTTCATACAAATGTAGCTCCAAAGAGCGTAGAACAAATTTTACACGATGTTATAAAAAAGTGTCTGTGTATGTATTGTGTAGCATTTTTGTACAGCTTGTTTTATGAGTTAATCAAAATTGTAATGTTTCATTCAGGACTACTTTCAGGGAAGGAAAAACTGTCACCAGGAGATGGAAAAGAAATGTGGCTAATATCCTCTCCACGGAAAGTCGTGAATTGCACTCTTTTGGTCAACGAAATTGTAGGCAATAGCCCTCTCCCTCCTCCCTGGACATAAAACATATGGGAGTCATAAATCAAATAATGCTTTAACTTTTAGGATCATCAAAACGTACAGTAAATGACCCCTTCCATACAAAATTGGGAAGTTCCACACCTGGTCCAATCGAATGAAAAATATTAACATGGAATTCAAACTTATCAAAACGCACAAAATGACGCAACAACAGAAGGTACGCAGTTTTAAATGAGAAAACGCTAAAGTTGCTCCACTAAACATGTTCTGTATCTAACCGCCAACTACCATACGTTTAAATTCAATATTCGCGCGCGCCAAATTAACGAACAACAAACTACCTACAAAACCAGTGCACGAGTTCCAACCAAAAAACACATGGTATCTAGATAAAAAACAAAAGAAAAAACTACTACTAACCATGCGCAAATATTTGTGTTCATTACGCACTCCACACATCACACCGCAACTACCACCCTTCGGACCTTTCGTCCTACACGCACGTTGGATGCAACTGGGAACGCAACGCACTCGCTCGCATCGCAGGCGTTAAGGCGGCAAGCGGCAGCGGCGTTTCGCATCTGTCGTGCTTTCTGGCCAATGGGGTGGCTGCGTCGCGCTCCCTTCTGTCTTGCCGAAGACAGCCTGGATCGCGAAACCGAGCCAATGCTCGATGTGTTTTGGCGCGCTCAGTGTCAACTCGCTGATGTGGTTAGGCGATGACAATCGGCTAAGCACAGGCGTCTATTATTGTAGTTATAGCTCAAAACTAAGACTGAACGACCTGGCTTGGCGGACCATATCTCATGGGTACTCATCAACATTTTGGTTTGGAGGGCAGTTTTGTATTCCTGACCGTTGATACCAGCCTATCTACGCTGGCTTATTCAGGGGTGACTTTGTAGCTCAAGTGCTCAAGTACCCCCTCCCAACCCAGAGCGCATGGCCTAATACGTTTTTCCTTATTATATATAGCATGCTATACTCCATTCAAAGTCTGGATCCTGTGTTGCCAGAGCCAACATTGAAAACTCCGCTACTGGTATCGGAAAACTCTACTTTCCGGTACCCCTAAGATTATCGTGAGGCGCACTCTCATAAAAGAGGGGTCTAAACATGCCAACAATAGAAAATATTTAAACATTTATCATACAAGTTGTGTCAAAAAAAGAAAACAAAAACGTTAGTCTACAAAAACCAAAACAAAATTCCATTATATAATATATAACTGAACAACAATATAAAAGAGCATGAAACTATAAACAGCGTGATAAAATATAACATACAACTGTAATAAAAAAACATTTGACTATAAAAACCAATACAATATTACAAATAACTGTCAAACAACATAATATTAATCACGCAGTCATATTAAAGAAATATCACACGAAACTAAAAAATAAAAATCATATGACTATAAAAAAAAAATGATAAAATACAATAACTAAAAAGGCCATTTCTGTTTTGCATAACAAAATAAAAGTTTTTGGGTTACTTAAACTCAGTCACTATCTGTATCAGATTCTTCTTGTTGTCTGTTCTATCTATACTATATAAATTATTTTTGTGTTATGTTTCTCACTTAACTCGAAGTCTAAGCAGCAACATTTTTTTGTATTCATATCCAGTTTGAAATGAAGTAACCCGGACAAAGTTGAACGTAAAATACGATTCCTTTTCTTTGTTTTGATTATCTCCCCTGTTGAGAATGACCACTCGACATCTGCATTACCATGTGGCAATGTTAAAATTATTAGACATACTTTGGAAATACACTTCACAGGTTGTGTCCTTACCACCTACTTACTGCGTCTCCGTTGAATAAGAATTACTACTGTCGATTGGAAAGATACCTGTATTTAGATTTGAACATTAACTACTCAATTTTTTTTCTAGAAAAAATATGACATCATGTGTACCTAAATTGCAAAATTCTGGTCTGGATCCGCCATAAGCCCCGCCTAGAACTTTTTTCTGGATACGCCAGTGGCCAATTCAAGTTATACATTTTTTGATTTGGTGAATTTAAAACGTTTATTAGAAATACAATGTTTAGGCGACTTTATACGCTATCTTTAGGAACATATGATTCTAATACCCGTTTTACATCAACAAATTTGTTCACGAATTTAATCAGATGGATCTTGTCAAGGTCATTCTAATTATAATCAAATTCAAGCGAATAACCAAATGAAAATGGTATTTACCATTTTGGATTGGTATTTACCGATCCGTTCAAGCGAGTGTGGTTATCACTTTGGTTATAAGATCCGTGACGTCATGAATCAGCTGTTATATGTATGTCATAGTTATCACCGCAAAATTGTGGTATTTACACAACTCCGGAGTAGTTTTATATTTCTGGTTATTATTTGAAATGTGACAAGTTAGTATTTTGGCGGGTGTTGGATATTTTTGTTGTACTTCAGCTTCATTTTTGAGAAACTTGATACAGGCTGACTTCAGTTATAGCATAAAGTAGAGCACCTTATTAGATATACTCATTACTGTTGTTGGGGACACTTTAAATCTAGTTCATATGCTTAACCAAGTATTATGTGTAGTCATATACCACAAGAATATTAAAATATGACCATATAAACTCACTGGATAATGTCCACCTGTATACGGTTTTGCTAATATCTTTTTTCATCTCTTTTTCCTATCATTTCTGCTAAATCAATAAATATTTTCTTTAACATGCGGACACGTTTAGAGAATTGAAGGTTATCATAGCTACAAAGCCATGGTTCCATCATTAAAAGAATTTTTCTGTAAAAAAAAACTTTCTCCCATTAATATTATGAAAGGTTTGTTTTCCTTCCATACACTGTTCTAGACGAAAAAGCACCGATTATTAAGTGATAATAAAAATAATCAGATATTATATACGCGCTTTTCTAAAATAAACAACTTGCAACAAAACCGCGGTTAAAACCAACGCGTTCAAGCGATTCGAGTAACTGACGTCATCAACCCGTGTGTCATCTTAAACCATATTATAACCGCGGTACATAATACAGAAATTTTGGTTATTCACTTGGATTTGATTTATGTTTCGCGTTTGTTTACATCAATGGACAAATTTATGGATTATCTGACAGCAGCCAGTGCTGCCAACCACACAACAAACTTTTGCTATGTATAATTTTGATTTTGAGGCATCTCATAAACAAAAACAATACTGTTTTTTTTTTGCTTTAGGACTTACGTCCCATTAGCCAGATACGAATTTTTACTTTTTCTAGACAATTCATATGACACCACTAAATCCATGGCTTCGGAATTTTATTTCAGAAGGCGAGATTCGAACTCGCGGCCCGTCCAGCCGACGAATCAGTAGCACGGCACTCTAAAACAATACTGTAGTTATATCAAAGTTCTATGCTTGAATTGAAATGGTTTTGAATATAATGGGAAATAAATCAAGGTTGGCATCACAAATACATAAGACTGACCAAACCAAACCAAACCATGGAATTTGACGTCCAAATTGGCAAAAATTAGAACAAGTTTTATACTTTTGAAATTTGGCCATGAACTTATTTCGTGAAGAAATTCGTGGATTTAAAGTCAATGTAAAACGAGTATTAGCTGGAAAAAATATGATCACAATTCTGTCAAATAGGTGGTTGGCAGTTTGGCAGAAGGTCAAGTGTTTTAGGCGATTTGGGAAAAATGTAAATGTTAGCGTTTTGGCACCTATTCCATTTTATGGCTACTCCTGTATCTGAAAAGCATTTTTCCTTATAATATATGAATATTTCCAAGTAAAATTGTCAGAGGAATTAAAGAATGACCTCCAAATTACGATCTGATAATTCTTTCAGCAGGGATTTAATGCAAAAGAAAGTTTTCGAAATTTTCTACTATTTTATTGGGCTGACAATTCAAATGCCCCCCTCCAGTTTGTTTTTTTTAGAATGATAATGTATTTACATAATTGTATTGTCATCAGAACTAAAGACAGGTACCAAATTGCAGATCAATTGGTCAACAGACCCTACTAACTAACTCTACTGAGCGGGGCCGTGGCAACTGCGTGTTCCAGGAGTTGTTGTATTCACTATACAACTTCTTCCCGTTCAAGTGATTGTACATGCGTTAAGGAATACCTCAGTACCGATTGCCGGGTGGCGGTACAAGTCTGCCAACTGGCCACTTCAGGACTATTTAACATCTAAAGGAGGTGGGAGATAAGGACCAGTCGACCTAGGCGGTACCACCCGCTAGCTTTTCCCAGCGTGTTAACCATCTTAGCTTCCCAAATTACGAGGTGCACTCCAATCTGAGAAAGAACGGAGGAGTTGTGGCTTTTGTCCGTAGCAGTCTTTTCTGCTCCAGAGACGTTTCTTTGGAATCAGACCGGAAGGACATTCTGTGGCTTCGCCTCAACTCCAAAACATCTACCAAATTTCTTAGCTGTCTTTATCGCTCTCCCTCGGACCCTAACTGGGACGACCTACTTGATACCTCGATGTGAAGATCGACTTCCTGAACATCAATCGCCCCGCTTCAGAGGTAGTTCCCTCGGTGATTTCAATGTCAAGAGTGAGCTTTGGTTGGGCTCAAAACAAGACCGATCCAGCAGGTCGTGCAGATAAAGCGTTCGCTCTTACTCAAGGGCTGACCAAGCTGGTGACGAGCCCTACCTTTTCCCCCGCGTCTCGTCACATGCCAGTAGCCTGCTGGATCTCTTTCTGACCACGCATCCTGTCCCGTACAGCACTGCTGTCCTGGGTATCTCAGACCACGAAGATGTGAAGGTTAGGTTACGGTCAGAGCCCGCTGTGGCAGCAGAAACTCGCCCAGACCGCAAAATTTGGCATTACGGACATGCCGACTGGGAGATGCTCAGAGACTTCTTGTCTGTCTGTTCTTAGATAATCGAAATTATCCATGTCGGAATGGAGGAATACAACCCTCATACAGTGAAAGTGGCTAAACCAGGGTGTAACGGCTGGTACAACAAATCGTGCGACACTGCTCGCCAGCAGAAGTTCAAGGTACACAGAACCTTCTTACAAAATTCCACTGTAGAAAACACACCGACGCCGAGTCCAGAAACAAATATAACGAAGCGGGTAGCAATGCCAAAGACTAGCACGATACAAAAGTTAGGCACAGGGTAATGTCGCAGCGTAATGGCAACCGGTCTTTCTGGATGCTGGCCACGTAGATTGGAAGGAACTACTCACAGAGTAGCCTTCGTTTCAGAATGGAACGATTGTAACCGACCTAAAGGCCAAGGTGGAAGTGCTTGCCAAGATCTTTGCTGGTAACCGCACCATGGACGTCCCCCAACGACCAAGTGCCGTCGATTCAAAGGGTTCCCTACACTATACGGAAAGTATCATTCAGGCATAAAACCGTGACATGGGTGCTCTTGTGGCTCGACATCAACAAAGCTTCTGGTCTGGGCTTGATTCCTGTCATTGTACTGAAGAGGTGCATAGCGGAGCTTGCTCCGGTTCTTTCGCGTCTCTTCCAGATATCTTACGAATCCGCACCTTCCTAGAAAACTGGAAATTTGCTCATGTCCAACCCATCTCCAAAGAAGGATCTAACACCGA